TAGAATAAAATGGTATATTTTCTCGCTATGCTAGCGTTTTTAATATGGTTGATAAACAAAATGATTTAACTTTGCCCGGAGCGTTTAAGAAAAACTCGAATGAAAACAAGGCAAAACTACCTTAGCAATATGATCCTAGCGAACCTATAGGCAATATTATAGACATATATGAAAATAAAGTTAGTCTCTACATAATCGCACACTTGCTTTTGGATATTCAAAAAGCAAGTGATATATGCTTGATGTTAAAAGCTGGATTGATAGATGAATTTTCTATTAGTTATGCGCCTGTTAAATATGATACTGATTATCAAATTGGATCTAATTACATCCTCCCAAAGTATGAAGGCGAGTATTAACTATAAATAAATCAGGAATAGCTTGAATTTCTTTTTGGCTTTTATCTCTCCTTCAACATCTGACAGTATGCTAATGCCGTGTCTTTGCAAACAATGATGCAAACTAGACCGAGTTAAACAAGGAATTATGGCCCGCAAAGAATAAAGGCAATTGTCCAAAGGAAGAAGTATATGCTTGCGAAAAGTGACAATTATTGCTTCTTCCCCTTGAGTTGACATCTTTGATTTTCCATGTTTTGGGCCAATTGCAGCGTCTATAACAAATGAGCGTTTTTTCCATTTTACAATAGCCTTCGGATTAAGATTATAGTGCTCTGCAAGCTTTGCTATACTCTCTTTACTGTTTTGTATTACTCTACACACCTCCTATATTGTTTTGGCGCACCCATGTAATACTTGTCACATAATAACTCCTTAAACGAGGATAATATATAGTTATATAGTGGGGCTGTATGGTTTAAGGTTGTTCACAAACCATTAATCAAGTATATTTCCCTTTTAGTACAGCCCTACTTATGGCCAAATATATTAAATATTCAGTAGATGTTATAAGTAAATCACATTCTTTCGATAGCTTCCTATCCCTATTGATCCAATCAAAAGTCTTCTACAAGCCCCCCCCCCTTGGGCTGCACTTTAAATGTCCTGGGTCTCGTTGGGCTAATAATTCCGGTGGAGTGTCTTGATGCACCCAAAAATCTTCACAGATACCTCTTACAATTTCAATTTTTATTCCATATTCTTTTAAATCTTTTCCTTGATATCCCATGTCAGCGAATATTTTTCTAATTTTATTATATTTTTTTCTTCATGTTATCTAATGCTATTTTTATACTATCTCTGTCGCTCTCATTGGCAGCTCCGACATAGCAAACAAGCACAAATGCTGTGATTATATGCCTCTTTCCACCATTGACTTTCTTGCCTATATCATAACCCTTGCTTTTTTTCTGTCGTTTTATAAATTGGATATCCACTATACAAGCACTTAGTTCCTCTTTCCCTCCCGTTTTGGACCTGTTATACTTAGAGATATCGTAATTCATTTTACGAAAATCCCCTGCTTCTTCCATCTCCTAAATTGCTCATATGCTTTCTTTAATGGCGGAAAGTCGTTCGGCAAATAGCGCCATTGCGCCTATAAGTAATACATAAAATCTCCTAATACTTCTCTTTTGCTATGTTTTAGCGGCCTCCTACTTCTTATGGTACACTCTAAAGGTGTTTCTCTATTAACAACTCTATTTCTCCAGATCCATTGGATACTTTTTTCTCATCTGTAAATCCTTGTTGTATCTCATACACCACCCCTTTTCTTGCTTGCGGACAACTTCTGAGAAGAATTTTAGTCAACTTAGATTGCCCTACATGTTTATATATTAGAGGGTGATAATGACAAATAGCAAAGAAAAGCAAGTAGATTTATTATTAAACCATCTTGGTGCTAACTTTAATCAAGTTAATAATAGTGTCTTATTTAAAATAATAGAGAAGCTTTTAGATGATTTGCGTAGTAGAAGTAGCACAGTGATCATGAACATGTAAGTTTGATAGGAATGGAGGTGGCATGGTAATGTATGCTGGACAGATAATGTAACAGAAGGGTTGATTGGCGATAATAGACCTCTTTTAAAATTCACACCATCAACTCAAAATTGTAAATTCCAGGAATTAAATTGAACCTCAAGCTGAAGCGTTTTCGTCTATTCCGATAGCGATCTGCGACGATTTTGAATCTTTTAACAAACCTATCACAGTTTCAACTGCAACCTCTTGGTTGCAAGCTCTTGATTTCTTTCTTGTCTAATGGCTTCTTTTTCGTATTTCATGTGGCAATTTCCAGCAGAACTTGCTTTTACACCCACTCTTTGCTTTTTAGGCCCATCTTCTTTATCTAATA